CACCCCAGAATTTGGGAAAATAGAAAATAGAGATACATGCAAAAGGCATCAGAGTCCATGGGGGAGGTGAAATTAGGGTGGTTTTTGGATATTAAAGCTGAACTTCAGCCTTCCCTTTAGTCCTGGATAGTTTTACCGGCTCCTCTCCTGGACTGAAATGTCTTACACTGTTTCCACTGCACATTATGAGCATCTCACATTATACATTTGAAAATACTAACTGACCTGATATCATATTGATCCAATCAACACAATTACTTCTGCATCACTGCCTAAAGGTGCCCATACACCTTACGAATATCGGACGATTTTCGTATGCGATCGCATTTCTGTCCGATATATGTAAGGTTGATGGGCAGTCTACAACCACAAATACTGTACAATCAATCGACCTTTGACTAACCAGCAGGTTAGAAAACGTCGGTCGATCGTGCAATTGTATACAAGGTTGGTGGCGTTTCCATACGTCAAAATTCGTACGCTCTACACTGCACATGCGCTGACGAAAATATGTGCGGTCGGTTACCGCAATTCGTCCAGGTGCTTTTTTTTAATTACCACTGATCCAACCTTGCGATAATCGGGGTAGGATGGGGTCGCCGTACGGAAATCGTACGACGCTTCGATCATCGGACGAAAAGTCTCGTCTGATGCTCGCAATGTGTATGGGCAGCTTTAGAATGAACGTGCAGTTAGTGAAATCAGGGCTCCTATTCTTCATACTCGTTCTGAATAGGTCAAGTTAAAACTATTCAAACCTCATAAAAGCCAGGCCATTTTTTATAAAAAAAATTAAGTTATCTATGTCCCCCTCCATCATGATCTTAGTATTGCTCTCTTCAAAAAAATGATTAGAATAAAAATGATTTAAAGAATATCTCTGCATTTTCTTTTTTTAATAAATCAAGAAGATGCCAAACAAATGCTCATATATAACCTGTGCTTTCCCTTCCCTTGTGTTTTGAGCGCTCAGACCACTGTAAACATTGCTCTGTTAACACTCAGCCTGTCTCCGACTTCAGATAAGGGCTGGAAACAAGAAGGCATCTGCTACACAGACTTGCTTGATTCACTGTCTTTATTACCAGTATCCATAGAAAGAGGCCAGCCTTTCAATATGCAATGGAAAATGCCCATTAGTAGAACTATGCTGTCCCTGTAAATGCTCAGTTTAGTTGGTCCGCCCATCTGCACCACATACTAATTTACTGCGCCGGGCCGCCACCCACTAGCCAGAGACACCTCCAGCAAATGCCTGAAATTTTGGAAATATATCACCAGTGGTGGGCCAAAAGCACTCACTACTAAGTTACAGTCTAATATTGCAACATCTGCCGAATAAACAAAACAGTGTGCTTTAAGAGAGATCTAAACCCTACTTGATTAATACGGTACGCCATGCACCACAAACCACTGCTTTTTATTTGCATGAAATACTGTTTTCAATTTTTTTTCACCCTTTGTTGCATCTCAGTGCTGCTGACCTCCTGCAGCCTCTTTCAGCATTTTCCTACCTACATGTTCTCCCTTTGGTATCAGCTGCATATTATTGACCATGACTGGATTCTTGATCAATGGTGGACCATGCCTGCTTAATGCGGGCCAGCATGACCACTAGTAGTCTACACCAGGGGGGCGAATGTGACAGTGAGACAACACAGAAGCACCTTTTGGAGATACAGTAGTGGTCACCCTATAACAGGAAGTGCCCGAGCAAGGACCTCCATGCTGCAGGACCACACAGTCTTATTTGATTGAAAGCTGCAGGATAAAAAAAAAAATATCTGAAGACAGCTTTAGAAATGACATTAACAGATTTAAGCTTCTATGAATTGTATGTGATTAGGTTTTAGATCAGGTTAAAGGAAACATATTATGGGATATTAAATGCTGACCTTTCTAATAGCTCTATATTGATCCAATGAATTGTAATATGTAAAAGATTAAGACCTTTACACAACAAGACAGCATGAAGGGCAAAGTACAGTCAACCACTGTAACCAATCAAATGACTCTATCATTGCACTGGTCAGTTTGGGCTTCTGAACTTTGCATGATGTCTCATTCTTTGTGCAGCCCAATTAAGCCTGATAGTGTTGTCTCCACTTACCTATCATCAGAGCGGTAGAGAACACACAGCCTGTGGCGACTGGGCTCTTCATAGTGGCTGAACGTGTCTCACAGTCCTTTCTGCAGAATGTTTATCCTCTGACATCTGCTACCAGTCCCTGAGGACCGGAGGAGAGAAACGTTCCCCTAGAGCAAGAAAGCAATTCAAAACAAATATCCAGGCAAGTATACAGAAATACCTTTTAGAATACACAAGGTTGGGCTAACCACTATAGGTCAATTGCACCATATCCCTATCTATTTTTCGCTACCTTTCTTTTTGTTTTGAAGGTTACTAGAAAGTTGCATTGAGGAGTTATGTACTGTATATTCTGTGTCATATGTTTGTCATAACCGATAATTCCACCCCAGAGCAGTTATGGTTGCTTGAAAATGTGATGTGAACAGGGGTGTCCCCAGCCTATTGGTTTGCTGCCTGAGAGGGTGGGGGAGGAGTTGGGCGTGGGTGAGTGCTGGTTGTGGTTGCTGGGGTGGATGTCTACTGTTGGGCCACATTAGGGTGGCCCACCAGTAGCATATGCTGGCCAGAGTGTCCTGCTCAGCTCCTGGCAACCAGTGACATCACTGGTTGCCAAGAGCTGTGAGGTACGCCAGCCAGAGCGTCCTGCACAGCTCCTGGCAACCAGTGATGTCAGTGGCTGCCAGACGCAGGGTGGGATGCCATCTCTTAGCATCCTGGGACGCTTTGGCCAGAAAGGGGGTGGCAGGCACACATTGCTATGCCCACCATGTGACTTAAAGATGTGCCACTTGAGGCAACAGACTCAAGCTGTCTCATTATAGGGGTGGCCCAAGATGTGAAGTATGACATGTGACCACTGCCATCCCTCTAACTTTGGGTCTAAGCCTTAAATTTCAGTGATAAGACCCACCCACTTGGCATTGCTGTCTCGTGCTGGAGCATCTTTTTGGCCAACAAATGCAATGTCATTGGACCATTTTAAAGGTTATTGTAGAAATATGTAGTGAGGTATTATGTACATTTTGTGTCATATGTTTGTCATTATTGATAATTCCACTCAATAGCAGTTGTGGTTCTTTGAAAATGTGATCTGAAGTATGACGTTTAACCACTGCCATCCCTCACTTTAGGTCTAAGCCTCAATTTAATTGGTAAGACCTGTCCACCTGGCATTCTTGTCTCCAACTGAAGCATCTTTTTGGCCAACAAAGGGCACTGCTGTTGGACCATTTTGAAGGTTATTGTAGAAATATTTAGTGAGGTAGTATGTATATTCTGTGCCATGGTTGCCATAATTGATAGTTCCACTCAAGAGCAGTTGTGGTTCTTTAAAAATATGATCTGAAGTATGACATTTAACCACTGACATCCCTCTAACTTTGGGTCTAGGTCTTAAATTTCAGTGATAAGACCTGCCCATTTGGCATTCCTGTCCCCTGCTGGAACATCTTTTTGGCCAGCAATGGGCACTGTCATTGAACAAAGGGGGTGGGGCATGGGCCTGACCAATAATGAGGAATAAAAAGCATGAAGGGTGGGGCCAAGGCACAATTACTGCTCCCAAATTCACTGTTTGTATGCTAGACCTCCAATTTTGTGACTTCCAACGTGCTCTACAATTGTAAGAAAGTACATGTTGGTATCCCCAATTACTCGCCACCTACACCTACCAGCAGTTGGCAACTTTTAAGTGAGCAAAGATTTACAACAAATGTAAATTAGGACAAAGATTACTTTTTTGGAAGATGATATAAAAAATCAGCAATTTATATTTGAAACATTTACCAGACGAGTGAAAGTAAGAGTTTATTGTCTTAATAATATAAAACTAATAATAAATTAAATATAGATGGACTGCATGACAAAGAGCACACCTGCTATGAGGTGAGATAACTAAAACAATAGGGGAAGGTTGGCAGTTTAGGAACATCAACATTTACCAGGACAGGTGTGGATGACAATATTAGACAGCTCAAGGAAAGAATGGATGCCAAAGGAAAACGATTGACAATGTATTTGTACTTTTCACTTTATTTCATCCAAGGCACAGAGCCAAAAACATAAGCCAATGTGCTTCAGGGACCTTAAAACCCCTTTTCCAGGGCTTGTGGATAGGAAAGTGCAGCCTAAAACTGCTGGTTTATGGAAAGTAATTATGTATGTAGATCATGGGGCCAATAGGCACCAATGCTAAGCATTGGATGAAACAGTCTGGTGGCCGGCAGTTGCACATTCTCTTCTGGATTCCCATCAATTTGAGTACATTGAGGACATATCCACAGTTTCTTAACTCTTAACACACTTCTTCTTAACTCAAGATATATGAATAGTTATTTCAGTGGATTAAGGTCCATCATACCTACTGTTCTAATATTTTACACCTGACCTGTGTTCCAAATATCTCAATTTTGCTGCCATTTGTTACATCTCCCAGTCTCAGGCCATGTCCTCTGGTTCATCACGGTCTCATCTAGAAACCCCATTCTGATTGTGTACAGTAAAAAAATAGTAGGGGTTCTGAACACTAAGACTTCTGCCAGTAAACATTTTTTTTTCCTTTTTATTTAAGTCCCATTCCGTATTTGGAGAGGGTCTAAACCCTTTGTCAGGTTCCTATTACTAGCTGTGTCTTGCTGCCTCAGTAACAACTTATTTCTTGCCCTGCTGTTGTAGATGGGAAGTAAGGTGCAATCTTCCCAGTGAAGTCATGGATAGGTATAAAAACATGACAAAGTTAAACGTTGTAGCTGGGATTGAATTTTAATGTACACTCAATGTCAACATGACCGAGGGGCACACTCTACCCTCTGAGCAATGTGAACCTGGGTTCCGGCACCAACCTCTCTCTACCACCCATTGCAATCACACCCACAATAGTAGGAACATGTGAGGGCTGTAGAGTACATAATTATGCCACAAAGCTATAGTCCAGTTCCAGATCCTGACCCTGCTTGTGATGAACCATATAAAGCGTAGATTAAAGGTAAAGTGAATTCATTCTTCCAGAACAGTTTTAGCAGGTCATCAGTTCACGTTATTTGTTGCTTGGAGCTGCTTCTTTAGGTACAAAACACGGTAAATATGTCTCTCTGTCCCTCTAATATCCATTTCCAAAATAAATAAATATTGCATTTGTCAATTGTTCATATTCCAACATTGAATTATGGAGATATACAGAAACCTAGAACTGCTCATCAGCAAAGTTCAGCAGGCAGAACCATACTAAGTCTTGGAGATCTCCTTCATGATGAGATGCACCACCAAACTAGTGCTCTTAGTAATAGGAGTACGACTGGCATGCCATAGGCAAGACGGCTAGCACTATTGTAACAGGACCTCTTTGTTTCAAAGCTGATGCCATCTGCTGATACATAACTCTTCTCTGTGACACACATACTCTGCGAGGCACACCCACCAAGGTAAAGAGTGTGTGTTGTAGAACCTGAAAAATAGAAATAGGAATTAAGCCGCTATGGTGATGGCCAAGAAAGATCCAACGAGGAGACTCCACAATTAAGCACATTTTGATTCTTCTGAATATATGCATGTAGATCAGTCTGTAAAAATCCTGGGCCTCATTTATCAATGTATATATTCTTTACGCTGTGTTGGAGATATAAAAATCAGCTCCTATGTGTTTAGGAATCAAAGATATTATGGTAACTTCATACCGTGGCGTAACTATAGGCATAGCAGCCCAGGCGGCTGCTCTGGGGCCTGGGCGTGGAAAGGGGCCCCATTAGGTTGTTGAGACAAATTATGTCAAACTGAATGGTAGCTTGCAGTGTCAAGCTGCGGTAAACAAAGCTAGCAGGGTCTTGTCCTGTATTAAGAAGGGGATGTATTGCACGGACAAGTCTATAATTGTGCCTTGATATAGATCGTTGGTTCGGCTTCATCTGGAGTACGCGGTCCAGTTTTGGTCGCCGGTACTGAGAAGGGATGTCCTTGAACTGGAGAGAGTCCAGCGGAGGGTAACAAAACTAATTAGGGGAATGGAGGACCAGAGCTATGAGACAAGGCTTCTGACCTTAAACATGTTTACGCTGGAATTAAGGAGATTAAGGGGGGATATGATTTTCATGTACAAGATGTTCAATGGTGACAGCAACATCGGCAACAAACTGTTTGAGATTAACTCCATTACAAAGACTAGAGGCCACCACCTAAAGTTGGTGGAGAAAAAATTCCAGCACAATGGGCGAAGAGGGTTCTTTACAGTAAGAGCGGTTAAGGTCTGGAACTCACTGCCATCGGCAGTGATTTCAGCCAAGAGTGTAGATTTGTTCAAGAAACGTTTGGACAATTTCTTGAGGGACCGTAATATCCAGGGATACCAGTATCCCTAAGAATGAGATGATGCGTGGACCTATATGGGTTGGACTTGATGGACGTATGTCTTTATTCAATCCCAAATACTATGTAACTATGTAACATGTGAAGATAACACAGTACTGTATCATTAACGGTTGGAGTGGTTGATGATAACCCTAATCCTTTGTAAAGTCTACAGTGTAGTTGCACTGAGGAGTGTTTTGGATCTTTGTGTTAGTCACAGTTTATAGAGAGGTCATTTGGAGGACCCCCATCACATTTTTGCTATGGAGCCCCGTCATCTGTAGTTACAACCCTGGGTTCATAGTTTGTATATTTTATATTTTGGTCAATTTGCATGCATATACTCCAGAGAATGATAAGAATACAATTTTCCAGGGGCAAAAATAATGGCTGTGCCCTTGCACTGGGGCCATAAAAAGGCATAGGGGTTGGAGGGGGCCCGTTTTAAACTTTGCCCTAAGGCATTATGGGTCATGGCTGCTGTTCCCTTTTTTAAAGTGTATTTTAACTCAAAACCTACAAAATATAATATATTACACCTTTCCAGTCTTTGGATGCAGTAGTTGCGTTCATTTTCTTTTTTTTGTAACTTTTTTCACATTTTCTTTTAACTTAGGCCTTGTTCACACCAAATGCAGACCAGATCCGGTCAGGTTTCTGCACACGCAGTGTGGTGGGTTGTGCCGCGTTTTAGACGCGTTTTGGATGCGTTTTTGATGCGTTTAGGGCCGGTTTTGGTAAAAAAAAATAAAAAAAATTTAAGTTTAACATGGACTTTCACGCACTTGCATGCGTTATTTTGCGTTTTAGATGTGTTTTTGATGCGTTTCAGACCAGATCCAGAGCAGTTAAAATAGGGCTTGCCGCATTTTTTTCATCCGGTCTGGATCTGGTCTGGATCCGCACGCTGCGATGTGAACTGGAGGTCAAAATACCATAGGAATACATTGGACGCAGTTTTGATCCGGTCTGCACCTGCTCTGGTCCGGATCTGCTCCGCGCTTCGTGTGAACAAGCCCTTACTTCCTGTCTAAGAATGACAACTCTCACTCAATGTACTATATCTGTGGACGAGCAGCATTTTCACGCAAGGACACTGAGTATGTTAGAAAACCTCACCCTCCCCTTACCTCCACAACATAAGGATGGAGGTGTTCTGTAGTTGACAGAAGAGAAAGAAGGGCGGTCAAGCCCTCTTACCTGTCTGCCCCATCCTATGTCCGCCTTCTTCTCCTCCACGATCGCTGATGGGCCCCGCCTCCTTTTCACCCAACCTCATAGTTCGAGCAGACGTGTGACAATGAAACTGTCATGCGTCGGCTCAATAGATCGGGAAGTGAGCGAACACATACCGTCGCTCGCTCACTTCTCCATCATGTCCCTGCGGAGAGCCGTGACTGACACTCACGGCACCCTGCGGGGATTCCCCGCTCCGATCCTCCAGCGCTGACTGGCAGAACGGACGGGGAGGGTACAGCTGGCTCTGCCTCTAGATCTAGATCTGTCAATCATGCAGCTAGGTGGTTCTCGACAGTAATGTTGGGATCCGCCCCGGCTGTGGCGGTCTCAGTATACCACGAGCTGTAGCTCGCAATATACTGAGCTTTGGAGGACGCTAGTTTAAGTCCTACAGTGACCCTTAGGAGAACTATGGAAAAAAACTCTTACCCCATAGTTCTCCTTTAACAGCACAAAAGAGAGCAAATAAAACACAATTATTGTTAGGGGTTACCGGTATATGCACTTTAATTATGCCAACTTACGGCTTTGGTAAAGACTGCTTACCTAGTGTGGTAGTCGCCGAGTATCGAACACAACGGTTTTGATCTCCGGTGCATACTGAAATATTCTTAATATCGCAAGGTTCCATCGTTGTGTCAACATAAGCAGGGCAGAATAAGTTGTTCAAGGTGAGGTTTACTATGGGCACTAAATGAGAAAAAACATTTTATTATATTTTCAGAAGAAACTTTTAAAGAACATGTATCATTATTGCAACAGTGGAACTGGACATTGCTTATTATACACTGAGTGGCCAGATTATTATGACCACCTGACGTTTGCAGGCAAATTAGCTATAATTTTGCGCTGAAGTTGCTAGAGGGCCAGACCATTATAAATAGGGAAGCAGGTTGTTTACCACGACAGTAGAAGTGATTTGTTTATGAAGATACGTGTAAACAACGCGATTTAACAGCCTTTGAACGTGGGATGATTGTTGGCGCTTGGAGCCATGGAGCGAGTATCAGCAAAACAGCAGAATTCGTTAAATGTTCAAGAGCAGCTGCTGTTAAAGTGTTTAAAGACTGGACTGTCAGACGAAAATCTGGGTCAGAACGTGCGAATTGTGGCCGTCAGCGACTAGTCAATGTTAGGGCAGAACGGAGAGTGGCAAGACTGGTACAAGACAAAAAAAGGGCAACAGTGCAGTGTCAGATTCTTCGCATCCCCTTTCAACATCTCGTGGAGTCACGAGGCGGCCCAACTAAGTCATCTCGTGGTCCAACGAAGTACTGATGGGGTGGTCATAATAATCTGGCCACTCAGTGTATTATTATAGCATGACTAAAACCCAGTCATTTTGAAAGATCTCACTAAGCAAACTGCAATGGCCTTAGTAGCTGCAGAATTAAAGCAGGTAATAACATTTCTAAAAGCTTTGCAATCTGAAGAGATGTAGACATTCATGTAAGTTCCTTTTTTTTTCTTTTAGCTTTGGATGGAACATGGATACATTCAGTCACCTGCCAGGTTTTTTGTCTGTCTATTGGGGATTTTTCCATTCACTTCCTGCCCAGGACACACAGCAGGAAGTAAGTGGAGCAAGGGAATATCTCTTCTTATTTTGTATTTTTTATTTTATCCAGTCTTCCACTTTGTACCTGGGACATACAGTAAGCGGAGGCTCACCTAGTATTATGGAGGGAAAAGCTGTCAACTTCGAGTCTGAAGCTGACAGCTTTTTCTTCATTCAGATCGGCTTCTAACAGGTTACAGAGCATGGAAATCCTCCCCGCTGTGTGACCTGTCATGGACAGAGAGCTGCCTGTTAATTACAGGCGGCGCTGCATCCAGCTTCTGACAGGTAGTTAGGTTACACAGCAGCGGACCTCCCCACTGCTTGTGTAACCTAACTAGTGAGGCAAGAGCTGTCACAGGCTCTACTCTGTGTTAGAGGCGTGAGCTCTGTGGATGGTGTGGACCAATGGCAAAATGCCATTGGTCCAAGCTGTCCAGTCAGAAAAAAAACCCACTGAGGCAATCGATCTCGATGCCTCAGCAGTAACGAGCAAGTGAGGGACAGGGAGGCTCCTCCCTGTCTCCTCCCTTACATTCGCTGTGGCTTCGTAGGGATGGGGGGTGGCTTCGGCTGGACATAGGTGGGGCTGGGCGTGCTGGGGGCGGGGCTGGGGAATGCCTCACCAGAAGGCAAAGGTACCGCACGTTACTGCTTTGTACTAATATAATTTTGCACTCGGTGCACTGTTACCTCGCCTCATAATATGAGAACTTTTGATACCCCTGATGAAGCCGTGAAAACAAGGTGAAACATGGTGAGTTTGGGTTTTATGGAGAAAAGAAATTATGAATTTTTTTGTTAAAAGGAGGTTCTACAGAGAATCTCGTAAAGAAAGATCAGCAAAAAAAAAAAAAAAACTATGATGAAAAACAGAAAGTGAACCAGAAAGAACAGATACGATCTGGGGGGTTTACAGAAAGGAAAAACAAAGATGATAATTGGTATCTCTTTATAAATAGTTATGGAGATGCACAGTTCTTTCCCATACCTTTCTGTATCACATACAATTGCCACCAGGGCTACTAACAAAGCATCTTCAAAGCATGAACAAAAATAAGAATTTCTCAAGGGTTTTCACATTTCCATTTTCTATCCGCCCACCCCCCATTCTGTGACTACAATCTCAATACAAATTAGTAAACTAAATGTGTGATTGTAGTCCATCACGGGAGCGAGCTTGTGACGGTGACTACTACAATTCACATATTCCCCCCCCTCCCCTCTCCAATCCTCCAGCGCTGGCTGGCAGGAACGAACGGGGGAGGGTACAGCTGGCTCTGCCTCTAGATAGGCAGAGCCAGCTGTCACTCACGAAACGGGGTGGATCCAGACAACAATGTCGGGATCCGTCCCGGCTGCGGCGGTCTCAGTATACCGCGAGCTGTAGCTTGCGGTATACTGAGCTTTGGGTCACGGGAGGACGCTAGTTTATGTCGTCCCATGACCCTTAGGAGAACTATGGGGAAAAACACTTACCCCATAGTTCTCCTTTAAGTAACACCCATATTAAAATGTTTTGTACTGTATGTTGGATATTTTACATGTAGAATTTTATTGCGGCCTGAGTCCCAGCTGAGAAGACTCATTTTGTCCTGGTAAAGATTGTTAACTAGATGAAAGGTGGTAGAAAACCCAAAATGTTATAGTTGTGGTCAAAGCCCCACTGATACGTACCCAGGAATCGAGATGATGGACCTGCCTACAATGACCTGAGGTGTGCCGTGGTCATTATGGTCAGTATGCAAAATAAGGGGGCATACTCAAGAGTAAAAGGTAACTGAAAAAGGGGGTGAGGCGGGTGGGATGCCGCCCACAAGCCGACAGGTGAGAGTGGGAGACGGAGTAGTTTAAATGTGTGGGGCTCCTCCCACAAATCCGGCTAATTAATTAGCCTACCACTTGTCACCAGAATAGAGGCAGAGTAAATAATCTTCCATTGAGAACATCTGTTCTTGTTACAGCTGTCTAAGGGGGCCATTCCCCTATGAGATGGAGATTATGTTTTTACTTCCTGTTCTGTGACACTGGCCAGAAGTAAAAGGAAGTATCCCCAGTTTAACGCATAAGCAGAAAGAAAAATACAGAGGTTTTCACTAGGGATGCACAGATACTGTGGTGTCACAAGGGTGGGGGGTGCGGCCCTCACCTGGGTGACACCATTGCAGGGGTGACACCAAAATGACTGACAGTCATTTTGGTGTCAACCCCCCTAAAAAGTCGGGCACTCGATCATGGACCGAGAGCCCGATAGTGTCAGGAGAGAGGAGGGGACCCAGCGGCATACCTCATCACGCCGGGTGAACGTCCCCTCCTCTCTCTGCCGGCGTCCATCAGCAAGATGGCCAGCGCATCCGCGATGACGACACGGCAGCGTTTCCCCCGGTCTGGAGACCAAGTTACACCCGGCCTCGGGACGCCCCTGCAGAGATACCAAGTACAAGTACAGATACTTTTCCAGCTACTAGACTAGAGAAACACGCTAAAGTTAGGAGGCAGCTGTGATTTTTAAGGAGCATTGGCTACGGGGCCCCTGGGATTTCCACCGATTTGCACCGATACCATTTTTCCAGACTAAATACAAGTACCGATACTTGTCCTCACAGATACTACTAGTACTACTCATAGATACTACTACAGAAGGTACTGATACCTTTTTGTTTAGTGTCATGTGACAGTTTTTCTAAAACAATACTGACTAATGATTTCAGGACAGTGGTGGGGTGCCAGGGCCCAGTCCCAGCTGCAACCGCTGCAACCCTGGTAGTTCTCGTGAAAATGACAAGTATCGGCACTGGTATCTGAACTGGTATCTGAACATCCCTAGTTTTTACTATTCCCCATTCGAGACAAAAAAAAAGTTTTGATTTTAGAAATACTATAACAAAATGTAAGTGTATAAATCAAATATTTTTGAGCATTAAAAACTAACATAGAATAAAAATAACTTACAGGTTGGTAGAACATTATTACAGCTGTCATTGAAGCAGCATGATGTTGCAAATGATGTTTCTGCGTATAGGCCGGTCACCCTTCCGTTATTGAAACACTCAGATAAATCCACACAGGACTTCATTTGGAAATAGCTCGTCCAGCGGAATCCTATTAAAAAAAAAAAAAAGAAAAGTCATAAACAAGTAAAAAAAAATGTAAATTGTTTATTTGCATCATAAAAGGCATTTCTAATGGGGACATTTAAAGTGGAGAGCACATATCACGGCCACACTTCAACCTGCATTTTAATGCGCAGTGGAGTTCTCCGAGAACTCTGAAACTGGACCAGAGGATGGTCAGATGTCTTTATCAGTTCACATGGCTGGGTTCTCCTCCAATTTTTCTTTTATCTACACTTCTGTTGAGAAGAATAGTGCTTCATGGGCTTCAAATCCCCGCTGTTCATTATCAATGGACCCTCTAAGGTTGTATTTAAATACCAAGCAATGTGTCAATATGGCTATAAAAAATGTACACAGTGATATACTAGGTGCTTTAAAAATGTGCATTATTATTATTATAAAGGATTTATATAGCGCCAACAGTTTGCGCAGCGCTTTACAATATAAGGAAGACATTACAATCACAATACAATTCAAGACAAGATGGTAAGGAGAGCCCTGGCCGTGAGGGCTTAGTCAGCTCAGTGCCCAAAGCCAGCAGAGTGCAAAGAAAATATAATAAAATTAATAAAAAAGAGACCGGTTATGTAAAATGTCAAAGTCACATGACTGACTCTCCTCCAATCACTGAGCCCTCTTTGCTATGATAAGCAGAGAGACAGCCTGGGCTATAAAAGACATGCCACCTTGTGCATAGACCTGCAGTGTATACGTTATAAATGAGCCACTCTGTGCCTCACAGACTCACTGCTGCTTTATAAATGGCCCCTCTAGAGTTGTATCAACATACCGAGCTATGGAGTTGATTTACTAAATACAAATAGACTGTTCACTTTTCATGGGAATTTTCCCTCAGCTTAGTGAATGTGAATTCACTTGCAAAGAATACCCAATCACAAGCATTGAGCTCTTATAGGTATATTAAGCATCAGAGATTGTTGATCCAGGGAATATCCGATTGCCTTATAGGATCAGGAAGGAATTTTTTTCCCCTGTTGGAGCAAATTGAACCGTGCTTTATAGGGGTTTTTTTTGCCTTCCTCTGGATCAACAGCGGGTAATTGTGGGCATAGCGTTCTATTTAGGCTTTTTGTTTTTTTCATATCTCTATAGGTTGAACTCAATGGACTTGTGTTTTTTTTCAACCAGACTGACTATGTAAGAAAGGAAAATTACAAAAAACAATATTTTTTCTTGCATGTGATTGGGTGATGGAAGTCACCTCATTCACTAAGCAAAGGGGAAAATTCCTTGCAAATTGAACAGCCGATTTGCCTATAGTAAATCAACCCCAATGTGTCTCTTAGGGGTCTATTCACAAAGCTGCCGAGGGCAGCCGAGTGAATGACTGATCAGAAGTGAAGTGAGCCGAACACCGTTCGGCTATTCACTTCAGGCTGGTACGGCTGATTTCAGCCGTATATCAGCTGAAATCAGCCGTACATCGGCTTGCTTCACCAGATCCTTCGGCAGCTTTGTGAATAGACCCCTTAGGCTCTGTTTACACCTAAACGTTTCGTCTCTCAAAGGGAAGTACGACAAAACGCTCACAACAAGGAATATCATTCAATTCTATGGCCGCTGTTCATGACTGAGCATTTTGTGACAAGCAGAAAAACCTATCGCTGGAAAAAGTACATGATCTACGTTTTGGCAGATTACAGCGCTTTTTGGTCCCATAGACTTGAATGGAAGACGTTGTGCGACAAATCACTCAGGTGTGAACAGAGCCTTTTGACCCAACCGCTAACAGTGAGAACCTTACACTATTATAGGCACCACACATACGACCGCAGGTATGTTATTTAGTAAAGTTCAAAAAAATATCCAATCGTCCAACCCGTGACCATATGAAGAAACTTGAAATGCCATCAGTCCGAAAGAATCAGTTTTTTGGAATATTTCTAGGCAATACATTTTTGTCATCCAGTTTCTCATGTGTCCGGTCAATCCCTTACAGGAGGATCCTAACGCACTCCTTACTGGTATGTGCCTTGCTGTGGGTGCTGTAGTCAGGCCTGGATTCCCCACAAGGCCACCGAGGCCAGGCCTCGGAACGGCAGCGATGTGGAATCTCCTGACGCCCGGAACATGTAGTTCCGGGCGCCAAGTTATTTTCTACATTTAGCCCTGGTTTGGGAAAGCAGGGCTAAATGTAGTGGGAAAAAGCTTGTTCGTTCTGTGTCACCTCTCTCCTCGCTCCGCCGCCGAGTGTCTCACACTGGCTGCCGATGTGGTGAGCAGAGCAGCAGGGTTAAAAGTAACCCTGCCGATCCTTGTATACAACGAGAGGGGAGAGCAGTCTTCCCCTCTGTTCTATCACAGGAGTTCCAGCACAGTGCTGTGCTAGAACTCCTGTCTTGGAGGTGACATGGTCAATAAAGAGAACCTGTCACCTCCAAATGCTATTACACAGGGGTTGTTAGCTCCTGTGTGATAGCAATAAAGTTAAGTGAAAAAAAAAATTAAATTGTTGAACTTGGCCTTGGGGCAGCAGGGAGAGTAAATCCGGCCCTGGCTGTAGTGACTGCGGAGGGCGCCGCAAACTACAATGACACAGCTAAATTTTTTCCTGCCTCAAATCTCAGTGCGGTGCATTTTATATGCGCTTTAAAGGCCTTTTATCAGCATTACTATTTATCCCTGTGTAAAATGAATTATGAACAGAAACCCCAGCAAAGACACAGTGAGTAGAATTTTTTCTAATGCATCACCTTTAACGTGCACCAAAATGAGGAGGTTTGATTGAAGCCATATACAAATGTAGCTTGCAAGAACGCCGTGTAATTATAGGTGGACGGCAGACATACAGCTCTGGGTAGTACAAAGCAAATGAAGGGGTTCTTACCTCTGTTCCGGATCAGAGTACTCCCGCATGCACTCAAAGAGGCTGGGCATTCTATGATGGCGCCATAGCAGTTTGTATCAGTGTAACTGCTACACTGTATACATCTCAGTGCCTGACCTAAAGAAGAAAATATACAATTGTGAAGTTGTTGGCAAGCAAATACAATAATAGGAAACACACACACACACACACACACACACACACACACGTACGTACGTAAGTATGTATGTAGATATACTTGTATCCACCTGAGAAAAAGCAACTTCACAGATGCAAAGAGAGGCCTGTACACAAAGCTTACGCAGGATTCCTCGGGGAAAGGAATGCAACCAGATTAGCAATATACATAGAAGCTTCCCCGGGGGCAGAAAACTTGCCTGACAAGTTGATGTTATGCAAGTAAAATACACAACTTAGCAGAGAAGATATCACACAGTCAAGTACAGAGATAGATAGATAGATAGATAGATAGATAGATAGATAGATAGATAGATAGATAGATAGATAGATAGATGGATATATAGATAATAGATAGATAGATAGATAGATAATAGATAAATAGATAGATAGATAGATAGATAGATAGATAGATAGATAGATAGATATTAGACAGATAGATATTAGACAGATAGATATTAGATAGATAGATAGATATTAGATAGCTAGCTAGCTAGCTAGATATTAGATAGATAGATAGATAGATAATAGATAGATAGATAGATAGATAGATAGATAGATAGATAGATAGATAGATAGATAGATGTATAGATAGATAGATACATAGATAGATATTAGATAGATAGATAGATAGATAGATAGATAGATAGATAGATAGATAGATAGATAGATAGAGGGTATACAGATGACCCATGGGACCAAAGGTTGCCTTGGGCAGTTCCAAGATCTACAAGTAGATGGGTTTACCATACTCTTGGTGAATGTTGAACACCCCCTTGAGATATTTTATCATTCACAGCTTATCAAAAGACAAACATTAAACAAGGTTTCATTAAATGGTATATTATTAAAATAACAACAACCAAACAACAAAGAATTAAACAGCAATGCACACACAACCACACAATAATAATCAACCACCAAACAACCAACCACCATACAACTAGTGATTAGCCGAGCAGGTCAGAGTTCGGTTCGAATTCGAACTTTAGAACATCCAAAAAGTTCTAATTTTAACTTGAACTCAATGCAAGTCTATGGGGGTAGAACTTTCAAAAACAATTGTCCCCTTTAAGAGGGCTTATATGCAAGTTATTGGCCATAAAAGGTGTATGGGGGATCCGGGTACTGCCCTGGGGGACAGGAATCAATAAAAAAACAAAACGTTAAAAAGATACCGTTTTAAAAGGAGCAGTGATTTTAACATCACATAAATGATAACAATCAAAATGAAAAATTCCTCTAAATATTGTGCCTGGGGGGTCCCCCTAACCTGCCTGTGAAGTGACGGATCTGTACGATGTATAGAACTTGTTGCAGCAAAACTGACACTTCTAAAGGAAAAAAAATGACGTTTTTAAGTGTGCAGTTCCCCCTCCCAAACAATACCAGACCCTTTAGGTCTGGTATAAATGTTAAGAGAGACCCCATTGGGTTCACTCCAAAAGTCATATCAGACCCTTAATGTCTGGTAGGAATATTTAGGAGGGACACCGTGTAAAAAAAATAAAAAGGGTGGGGTTCCCCCTCAAAGTCATACCAGGCCCTTAAGGTCTAGTAGGGATTTTAAGCAGGAACCCCACCCCCAAAAATGGGGGAAGAAAACATGGGGTCCCCCCTAAAATTCCATACCAGACCCTTAAACCGAGCACTAGTAAGGGGTACTTGTACCCCTACTCATTCGTCAAAGGGTCACAAAAATTGAAATTAAAAAAAAGAAACCTTTAATTGAAAAAAAACCAAAGGATTTTGACAAGTCCGTTTTTGTTAACCCCCCCGCACCTCCCCCCAAAAAATGGATCCACCGACATAATCCAGGGTCAATCACGACGTCCAGCGTTGTCGAAGACTCGACAAAATAAAAAATAAAACAATAAAAAATAAATAGAAATAATAATTTAAAAAAAACAGACGACCGCCATCCCGCCCACTATCGACGAACACCCGCCACATAATGGCATTTTGACAGATGGCAGCAAAACATAAACAATTGGGCGGAGCTTGCGGTGACAGCTAGCTCCGCCCAACTGTGTACAGTTTCACGTCATCAGACAGGTGAGCCATGATTGGGCAAAGTGGTCAGGTGCAAGCCTTTAGCCAATTAGGGCTTCACAAGGCGCATTGCCTTGTTGGGCGTTCAGCGGTCGAACAGACTGCCGTATGCCCTTATCGTTTGTGTGTTCGGCAAGCACGCGAACTAGCGATGTTCGAGTCGATTTCACGTTTGACTTGAACATCCAGCCCAACTCTACATACAACCAACCACCAAACAACCAGCACCAAACAACCAACCATCCACCAAATACCCAACACCCATGCAACCAATCACCAAACAACCACCTAACAACCAACCACCAAACAATCAACTACCAAACAACCAACTACCAAACAAACAACTACAAAACAACCACCAAACAACCAGTCACCAAACAATTAACCACCAAACAACCAACCATCAAACAACCAACCATCAAACAACCAACCACCAAACAACCAACTACCAACCAACCAACCAACCAACCAACCACCATACAACCAACCAACTACCAAACAACCAACCATCAAACAACCAACTACCAAACAACCAACACCAAACCATCAAACAACCAACTACCAAACAACCAACCATCCACCAAATACCCAACACCCATGCAACCAATCACCAAAAAACCAACCACTAAGCAAACAGCCAACCACCAAACAACCAACTATCAAACAACCAACCATCAAACAGCAATGCACGAAACAACAATCTACAACCAAACAACAATTAAACACCAAACACTCAACCACCAAGCAAGAGCAAACAATGTAACCTAAACAACAACCGGTACCAACCAACCAACAACCAGATTACAATAAAAATAGCCCAGGCCAATTTGATTTTGTTTTGAATTGAGAAGGGAACGGTTATAACCTCTGTCTGCTCTTCAATGCTGTGTCCCTGTTGAGGAGATCCCCACTTCTTGTGTTAAGCTCCCACACACATTATAATCTTACTGTACAATCTCCTTTAGATCTACCAACAATTATATAGTGTGAGGGCCTGTCTGGTTGGATAGAGCTTGATTGGAAAGTTTAGGTAGACCCTCATATTACATTGTTTTGGCAAATCTAAAGTTGATCGTACAAAATTGAAATGTGTATGGTGACCTTTACACCCATTGAGGGGAAATCTCTGGAGTGAGGATCCAGGCAGAACTTAAAACAGAAGTTCTATCCTTTCCCCAATCTATCCAAAACCGAAGTAATAAAAAATAAACATTCTGATATAATAAAACACTCACCTGTACCCATAAGGACAGAGATCCCTACAATTAAACCCACGATTAGTCTCATCTTGACTCTCATAGTGGATGGCTCAGCTCGTGCAGTGTGTGTCGGGGAGGACAATGAGGTCAGAATACTGTTGATGAGTTGTTTTATTATGATCAGCCTGAAGGTGTGGATCTGCGGCATTGGTGATTGTGTAGGAATGAGGTAAATGTGGAGAAAGCAGATTTTCAAGGTGTGTAGAGAGATGAACTATTACTGTCTGTCACATTCCATATCCGTGAGCAGGACGTACAAGCCGATATGGGGAGTTTAACAGCTTAATTGCCAGACGTTTGACACACCTGTAAAGGTAGACTAGAAAATGATACAAGTAAAGTAGATATGAACCCAGTCACTGCTAATTTAAATTCAAAGGCCATTTTCAATATGGTTTTTTTTTTCTGCAGCTTTCATTACAATATTATCTGGTGATCCTGCCATTGTGGTCCTTTTTTGGTCCTTGCTATTAGCAACCTGTGACACTCGGTCCGGTGTTCCGCCCAGCTGACTTATGTCACTGGTAGCTGAGTGGGATGCTCTATCTGGCGTCCCACCCAGCTTCTGGCAACCAGTGACATCAGCGAGCTTGGCGGAACACAGGACCGAGCGTCACAGGTTGCTAAGAGCAAGGACTGAACAAGGACCACAATGGCAGGATCACCAGACTGGAGCCAGAGGTACCGTGCACCACCAGCACCCACTACCCCATCCCTACCCTCTGGTAATTTGCACCACCAGCGCTCCCCTTTACCAACTCCACCCGGGAACATGCACAACCTGCCCCCCCCAGCCTCAGGTGGCGAAAAGTGTAGGGACAGCCCTGGTGACAACACTCTCTTCCTGTTTCCTAATTGTTCCCCTACTATGTCAATCTTAAACAAGGAATTCCCCTCCTTTAGCTGCACACATGAAAGGGGCAGGATGCAGTGATGAAATTGACCTTCTATGGCTACATGGCCATATTAGGTAAATAACATTTACCTAATCGGCCAGGTGGCCATAAATGGTCAATTAAATCAGCACAAGAACCCCACCCCTTTCTTTATGATCAGCTAGGGGGCAGAAACTGCCCCAATGGGCAGCTTATTGGGTGATGCAGGTCCATGTTGCTTCGGAGAAGCTCAGGTTTAAACTGGGTTTGGTCCAAACCTGAACTAATGTCTAAGTCCCTGTTCACACCTTCGTGTTCCGTGCCAAATGCGCGCATTGACATGCATTCACGGAACGTGTCAAAAACATGCTTTACTTCTTTATAGTACCCCAAACAGAGCTGGGAAAACTTGTTTTTTCCCCGTGCATTGATGCACATTAAAAACGAGCTCAATTGTGCGGTGAAAAAATACGGTACACCTATAGCAGAATCTGTTACACGAGCTACTTTCCTGAGTTTGCCGCTCATGGGGCACCCATTGAAATCAATGGGCGACACCCGCCAAATGCGAACGTTCAGCTTTCTCCTCTAGAAAGGAGAAAAATATACAATGCATCTTTTTTTCTCCTTACAAAGGGGAAACAGTACAAAGAGGGTTCTAAAACTAGTGACCACAATGATTGGGTATCACTGTGCTCACTTGATCAGGAGCTGGTCCTCCCAGCTTCTAATCATTAGTATGAGACCAGGAGCTATCAGTGACAGCTCAAACTTGGTGCTGGGGGCACTCGATTAAGCAAGCTCTCTAGGCGCCTATTAGTGACACTACAAAAGAAAGGCCACCTTTGTGATTTCCTGTTATGTTATGCCAGCGGGTGGGTGTTTCTCTTGTACAGCAGTGGCATCACTAGGGGCTTGCAGGGGGTGCAGCCTGCACCCGGGTGAAACCATTGGAGGGGGTGACACCAAAATGACTGGCAGCCATTTTGTTGTCACCCCCTCTAAAAAGTTGTGGCACTCCGTCATGGACCGAGAGCCCAACAGTTGCTCGAGAGAGAGAGAGGAGGGGACCCGGCGGCATACCTTATCCAGCCGGGGGAACATCCCCTCCTCTCTCAGTCGGCATCCATAACCAAGATGGTCGCTGGCAGGTAACAGTGCATGATGTCATCACACGCATGTGCAATGGCGTCACACATGCATGATGACGTCACACACGTGCTCTATGACGTTGCACATTATAAATGACGTCGCGAGCATGCACGATAATGTCACAGCGGGGTGTCACCCGGTGTCTGATCCGGGTGACACCATGCCACAGGACGCCCCAGTCATGGACTGAGAGCCTGACAGCGTCAGGAGGGAGGAGGTGACCCGTCGGCATACCGGATTCTGTCGGGTGAATGTTTCCTCCTCTCTCTGCCGGTGTCCATTACTAAGATGGACGCCGGCAGACATCAATCAGATGGTCACACATGCACAATGACGTAATTGCGCATACGCAAGATGACAACACGGCGGGGTGTCACAACCTCGGGACGCCCCTGCTCGTGGGATTTGTAGTTCCACAAAAGCTGGAGTGCCGAGGTTGCCCACCCATGCTCTACACCTTTAGTATTTCTCGTTAGAGTATTATAGTAAATTCAGTGCGAGGGAAGCCATTGACAATTACTAATTAATAATTCACGAATCATTTACAAAATAAATCAATAATTCACAAAAGACGCAGAGAATGTTCGCTTGCTTTAGTAAATAAGATAAAGTTTTGTTTACTTTCTGCTACAGGATGGGAGATTTACATAGGAGACCAACGTCCTTTTTACTTATTCTTTGTCTCCAGGACATGCCAGCTGCAGGACAGTTTCACCATCTGAGGTAGATGTGAACACGTCGGGTCTTGCTACCCTAGAACTGGTGTGATGCCCAGGTGGCAGCTTCCGTCTGGAAGCAAAATGCTGTTTAATTTGCCTTCCAGCCCTGTTATCTTGCTTGCCATGTGACAGATTCCATTTAAGAGGTTATTTAATAACCAATCGGTTGTTTAATTAAGGTTTACATGGAAATGAACATGGAATAATATTTGAAAACATGACAGTAGATTGTGATTCTGAGTGCGAATCGGTTTCTATAGGAACTTTTATCTGAGCACACCTTCCTTGGCTGGGACGGCCTGTGATTGATTCCAGGGAACATGGAGACTCGTCATACGAGCTGCACCCAAGGGCGTGTAGACTGTGCGTAGTCACTACGTTTATCTCTCTGCGTCACATCAGCACAGGTTATGTCCAAGTTCTGCAAAACTTCTATTTATATCGGGAACTTAGACGTGCTGATTTACTAAAGGAGTAGAGCATGTTCACTTTGCATGGGAAATTACACATGGCTTAGTGAACGTAGTGAGAAAACACTTTGCAATGGATATCCAATCACATGCAAGGAAAAAAAACAAACAAAAAATTACATTAACACAAAATTCTTTCCATGTATAGCGCATTCATAACCATTAACCCCTTGACGACCCTTTTGCTGCCAAGGCCTTTTTTTCTTTTTGTACACACATTTATTTATTATTTATATAGCGCTGACAATTTACACAATGCACATTCACATCAGTCCCTGCCTTCAAGGAGCTTACAAGGTCCCTATATCACATGCATACATACAGGAGCCCATTAACCTTCTAGCATGTCTTTGGAGTGTGGGAGCAAAGTGGAGTACCCAGAGGAAACCCACTCAAGCACAGGGAGAACATGCAAACTCCTTGCAGATAGTGACCTGGCCGGGATTCGAACCAGGGACCCCCATTGCTAACCACTAGGCCAGTGTGCTGCCTGTGACCCTGTAGCATTAAATGGCGGCAGTTGCAAATTTGTTATGTTGCCCAATTTTAGCACAACTCTTTATCAAACACCAACATTTAGTAAAATATGCACTTAAGTTAATTTTTTTTGCCCTAAAACACAATATAATACCCATTTTTAGGTAAAATATAACAGGTTACGACGAGTAAATAGATACCTAACATGCCCAGGTTTAAAATTGTGCGCGTCTGTGAAATGGCGACCAAATTCAGAACCCCAAAAAGTCCATAGACAACACTTTAAAAGCCCCTACAGGTTATTAGTTTAGAGATACACGTAAATATTGACCCTAGAATTATTGCTTTCACTCTGGCGTGTGTGGCAATACCCAACATGTGTAGTGCAACCAACGTTTTGGTACATAGACGCACCTGGCGCGTATTTATGTAAATACGCCCATGCTCGGGGGCGGGGGACTTTAATTTTTTTTAAATTATTTTGTCATTTACTTTATTTAGTATTATTTATTAAAACTGCATTTTTATTTTCTTTTACTTTACTTTCATTGCTATCACATAGGGGGCTTGAAAGCCCCCCATGTGATAGTATATTGGCAGTGACAGATCCTCTTTAAGTGATACAGGGGGTGCAAAAGACCCCTACAGTCACCTTCCCATTTTAAATAAGCTATTGAAGTGCAGGTTGCACTTCAAGCTTATTGCTGGGCTTCAGTACCTGAGCATTGACAGCTCAGGGACCGGAAGTGATGCAATACGCATTGCTCCTGGTCGCATAGAACGGGGAGGAGATGGGTGAAAGGACGTTCGCTGCCCTCCTCCCCAGCTTCCCGTAGACATCCGAGATACCGGTTTCAGGCCTGTAAGAGGGGCAGCGGAGCCTGGGAAACACAGCGGGGGTGTCAGGCAGGGGAAGGCGGGCACTTTACCGGCCCGTAGAAGCGATCTGAAAGCACTTCAATCACTTATTGCTGGGCTTCAGTACAACAGTTCCGAGACCGGAAGTGATCCAATATGTGCTGCTCCCGGTCACATAGAACGGGGAGGAGAACTGTGAACGGACATTTGCCGCCCTCCTCCCCAGCTTCCTGCCGACACCCGAGATGCCGATTCCAGGCCCACAGGAGGGGCAGCGGAGCCTGGGAAACACAGCGGGGGTGTCAGGCAGGGGAAGGCGGGCACTTTACCGGCCCGTAGAAGCGATCTGAAAGCACTTCAATCACTTATTGCTGGGCTTCAGTACAACAGTTCCGAGACCGGAAGTGATCCAATATGTGCTGCTCCCGGTCACATAGAACGGGGAGGAGAACTGTGAACGGACATTTGCCGCCCTCCTCCCCAGCTTCCTGCCGACACCCGAGATGCCGATTCCAGGCCCACAGGAGGGGCAGCGGAGCCTGGGAAACACAGCGGGGGTGTCAGGCAGGGGAAGGCGGGCACTTTACCGGCCCGTAGAAGCGATCTGAAAGCACTTCAATCACTTATTGCTGGGCTTCAGTACAACAGTTCCGAGACC